TTACTGATTTCATCAGAGACCAGGAGTGCTACTGAACTGAAGACCACAAGGAGTGTCTCCTCTCCTGCTCGTCACCAGGTGGTCAGGGAGTGGTCTCCCTCAGCGAGCGGCTAAGCAACGTGGCATGTGACTTGTTGGCAAACTTCCAACCCCTCTGCACCTCCTCTCTCTGCAGTTGTCACCTCTGCTGAGTAACTGTCACTAGCATTAAGGAATGCAAGCATCTTCCTCCTGGGTTATTAAGTTTTGTCTTCTGTCAGAAGAGCTGATGTTGGACAAGGGAAGATGTTATATAGCAAGGAAGGAAAATAACTTATTGTTTGTTTGTTTGTTTGTCTGTCTTCCATTTTTCTCCTACCTTCCCAAGGATGGAAAATTTACTTCGATAATATTTCAGAATTCATATATGCCTCAATAGGGAAACCGACTGCTGTCAATTCTGACTCATAGCGACCCTACAGCACAGAGTAGAACTGCCCCTGTGAGTTTCTGAGACTGTCACTCTTTACGGGAGTAGAAAGCCTCCTCTTCCCGCCCCGTGCAGTAGCTGGTGGTTCCAAAATGCTGCCCCTGCAGCTCTCAGCCCAACGGTCACCGTCACACAGACAGAAGACAGACCTCTCGTTCTCTCTTCTCCCTGCCCTGTCTTCATTATGCTGCAGTCTGCATGTGCAAAACACAGTCATTTACCACCATTTACTCGTATCCTTAGTACAAAAGCAACTTCCTCTTTCCAATCGTTTAAAGTGAAAATACCCTCTCCCAAAATATTTGAAAGTACCCAGAGCCCACCACTGAAACATCAGAATGCTGTCTTCCCAGTTTATTTTTCTATTAAAGTTCATTAAATGAAAACTAAAACCATTTTATTGTTGTTGAGAATATACACACCAGAGCATATGCCAGTCCCATTTCCACATGTACAGTTCTGATGCTGCATACATCCTTCAAGCTGTCCCTCCTTTCTGAGTTGTTCCTCTCCCATTAACATAAACCCAGGGCCCCCAAAGGTCTGTGTTTGCTGTTGTTAATTTGACCTGAGGGGCAGGGGGGCAGAGAGAGAGAGATTACCCCAGTACAGTGCCCAAGGCAAACATCCTTTACTGGTTAAGCTAAACTACAGTTTGGTTTTAAGATTTCAGGGTATATTTCAGATTTAAGGTTTAAAGATTATCTCAGGACAATAGATATCTCAGGCTCCAGAAATTCTGGCTTCCATATTTTGCTACCTCCATCTAATAAGAAGACATGTTTTAAGTACATTTTCATCCACTTGGAAAAAATGAAAATGGATTGTTATGTGCAATATTCTGTAGTGAGAAAAGAGCACCAATGGCCATGGCTGTGGTGCTAATCGATTTGTGGGGCCTTAAATAAGGCCTTTGAGTTAGAGGAAGATAGGTATAATGAGCCTTCCTATAAAATGTATAGAGGATTACAGAACTGATGTCCAATCCAGATGATGTTTTAAATTGGGCTTCGCGAATAGGTTTTGGAGTTTCTGATGGCCATAACCAGATGGAAAACCAGCATTTACCCCAAATTTATATGCTTCTCTAGAGAAAGACCGTCACACTCTGTTCATGAAATTCTTATAGAACTCAGTGACTTGAAGAAGGTTAGGAACAACTGGTGTGCTCGTGTTTTAGGGATAGACATCTTCCACCCAGAGACCGGAAAGGCCTTTCTCCAAGCACACATCCCGTGGATCTTTCTGGCGAGATGGTGGGCATCAGTTCTAAGCCCAGAACTCTGCTCTGTGGCACTGGCCCCTGACAGGCTCCTTCGTGAAATACTTTGTTATAAATAATAATGCTCTCCCCCCACATCTGGCCCTGTTCTCAAAGTCCGTGGTAGAATGTAGTCTTATCAGTCTGCTTTCCCTCCGATCCTTTCCCAGCCTCTTCACGCACAGTCTGCTTTCCTCCGATCCTTTCCCAGTCTCCTCACGCACAGTCTGCTTTCCTCCGATCCTTTCCCAGCCTCTTCACGTACCCGTTTCCCCCAGAAGCAGTAGGAGGGATCTCTTGATACTTTGAGAGGAAGAAGCAAGCCTAGGCTCACACTGCTGAGATGCTGGTTCCCATTTCTGCATTTCTTAAAGAACATGTCGACCCTCCCTGTGTTTTTTCCCTTCTCACCAGAGGTGAGGTGACGAATCTCTCAAAATTTGATATCATAGTGCAGCATGTCACAGTGTCTGGCGACGAAGGAAAATCCCGACTGACAGCGGACAGCCCACGTGTCTACAGAAGTGAATGTGTGTTCCGCCCTCCTACTGGAAGAACATGGTTTCAGAAAGAGCACGTATTGTGAACATCACGGTATTTGTGCTGAGAAATCGTGCAAAATGTTGTATCTGAAGCCCACAGTGACCTTTTCAGAGCAGCCCCAGCCAGATGTGAGAGTACTGCCAGATTGTCTGACATTTCTCAGTTTCAAATATCCCTGATTCCAAATGACTCTAGTTCTGCTGTGTACAGCACCAAGGCAATTGGGGGAGGTCTCCTTCACTGTCGATGCCCCTCCAGCAGCAAAAGCAGCTGCTCTTAAATGTTCCTCCCCACCCGGGTGCCCCTGCCCGGCAGCTCACTCTCAGCTATGTCACGTCCAGAGGCAGATTACAGAAAAGAGAACTTTTCTAAGCCTGGAATTAAAATCTTCAACGTTGAATTCTGTACCACCATACTGTGTCCAACTTTAAAGATCACATTTATGTGCTCACTCTTTACCTTAAATCCTGCTTGGCAAAGCCTACAAAAAAACCCAAATAAAACCTAGAAGGAGGGAAAGGGAGTTCTGATTCTCATTACTCCCTCAAAGTAATTAACATAAGATTCTCCTAGGGAATTGTGTGAGCTCCTCCTGGAATTGGCAGGGAAAACAGATGAGAAATTAGGACTCAGGTCAAAGAAAGTTTTACGAATGTTTCTTCGCAGTCAGTGTGTTATGCAGGTTTTTAAAAGAAGCCCATCAACCCGAAAAAAACCCAGAAGATGTGTCCACCCTACATCTTGGTAGATTTCTGTATGCAGATAAAGCTCTGTGTTCACAACATGGAAGTTGGATAGGTTAAGAATTGCTTGCTGTCCCTGTTTCATCTGTTCTTGAACATTCTCTGTAACGCCAGTTAACCTGAGCAGGATGGGTAGGGAAAGATGATATGAGTGAATTCTTGGCTTGTCGTCCCATAGCATAGTGTATCAGACTTCTGGTTCTGTTCCTGGGAGAGGTCCTGTTAGCGCCTAAGAAGCATCTGTCCTATCAATCCCGTCTTTTTGGAGGACCATGAAGAAGGTGGAGCTGGCGAGAAAATAAATGGGTTACCTTTTAAGAAGTGAGCCCCCCCCACCCTCCCGATCCCCCACTCCTCCTCCACATGTGTATATTTTTACAGAAAGAAAATGTATTTCAAACAAACAAACAAAAAAGAATTCAAACGTGAGCGGGTAGACACACTACACTGCCGTTGCCGTCCAGTCTTCCGAGACCCTGTCTGCCAACACCGTGCGAATGGCCTCGCCAAACCGCGACCCAGCCGCAGCCAGTGTCGTAGCCCCCGGAAAAGGAGCCAAGCCCAGCGGGGGCGCAGCCCGGGGTTCCGTGGGCAAGAGGCTACAACAGGAGCTGATGACCTTCATGATGTCTGGCGACAAAGGAATCTCTGCTTTCCCGTAATCAGACAACCTTTTCAAGTGGATAGGGACCATCCACGGAGCAGCTGGTACAGTCTATGAAGACCTGAGGTATAAGCTCTCCCTGGAGTCCCCCAGTGGCTACTCTTACAATGGACCACAGTGAGGTTCCCCCTGCTCCCACCCCAATGTGGACACTCAGGGTAGTATCTGCCTGGACATCCTGAAGGACAAGTGGTCTGCCCTGTATGACGTCAGAACGATTCTCCTCTCCATCCAGAGCCTGCTGGGAGAGCCCAACATCGACAGCCCTTTGAACACACATGCTGCCGAACTCTGGAAAACCCCACAGCCTTTAAGCAACACCTGCAGGAAACCTACTCAAAGCAAGTCGCCAGCCAAGAGCCCTGACCCTCCCTGCCCTTGTGCTGTGTTGTCTTCTCTTCCTAGATGTCTGTCTTTCCCCGACACCAGCCCCCCCCCCCCTTGATTTCTTTGTAGAACTCTTATGTTAAGCTGTGGTGTCATTTCTGTTTTGTTTTTTAAATTAAGTCTCCATTTGCATCCTTGTGATGATTATATTAAATAAATAACGTTTGAGGTTGAAGAAAACAAAAACTGACCACTCAGGACCCACACAGCAATCAGGGTGTATAAATTACAAATCTGTAAGAGGTGCCCTACTCAACCTTTTTTGGAAACAAGAATAGCGAGGCCTTGTCTCCCCTACATGTCATCAGAGAAACCAGTCTGTGGAGAAGGTCGTCAGGCTTAAAGCGGAGGGTCAGCGGACAGGAGGAAACCATCAACGAGATGGATCCACACGGTGGCTGCAGCAGTCAGTGCAAACGTGACATCAGCGGAGGACGGGACAGGACCAGGCGGAGTTTTCTTCAGTATGACGTGTGGTCGCCACGAGTCAGAAACAACTCGGCAGCACCCAGCAGCATTCAACGTTCACATTTTTCAAACATAGAGTTGGTTTTCATTAACCTTTATGCTGAGAGCTGGGCATTCCTTCCTGTTCCAACTCTTAATACTGTCTTTATTGAATAGCTCGGGGGGAAGCCATCAGAATGAGAAGCTTTGCTTTTTATTCTGATTTTTCCGTCCACAATTAGGTCCTACTGCCAACATGTAGCAGTGTACTCCTTGTTACATTTAGGAGGACCATTGAACCTAGCTTAGTTTGCCTGAAACGTGCTTGATTTATGCCCATTATCCCCCTGAAATGGATAGCACCTATTTTTGCTGTTTGAGAAGATGCCTTATTTTATATGGTTATACTAATTGCAGGGACTGAAGGAAAGGAAATGAATTTCTGCTGAAGCAGCCTAACCTGTGCCCTTTCCTCTGTCTCCACAGCTCCACTTGGCAGCCCTGGCATCACTGAAGGGAGACATAGTGGAGCTTAATAAGCGTCTGCAGCAGACAGAGCGGGAACGGGACCTGCTGGAGAAGAAATTGGCCAAGGCACAGGTAAGGATATGGAACTTTGTGTTTGTAACGTCTTTTTAAAGACATAGCCACAAATGCACAACTTCATGAGCAAGCACTACGAAAACCCCCACCCAGATCAAGGAATAGCACTTGTTTCCACTCCAGAAACTTCTCTATACATGCCATCCCAAACTCCACAGTTTAAACTCCCCCCAAAAGGACCGCTACCCTGACTTTATAGTAGTAGTATATTCCTCGTGTTTCTGTTTTTGTTTTTACAGTCTAGTGCTCATATTTCCATGCCTAGGTCACATAGCCTGGTCTTATCGATTTTAAAACTACGCACTTACTTGAATCTTTTATTCTATAGGTTTTCACTCCATTACTTTGTTTTCTTGTAATTTATCTGTGAAAACCTGGCTGTTTGACATATTGAGGTTCCCAGAGTCCGGCTATTCCTGTTCGACACACACATGATGCATTCCGACATGTTCCTCTGCCCCCTGCAATTCCTGCAGAGTGTCAGCTTTCTCCAGGGACTCCATCCCATCCCTGCGTGATCCCACTGGCAGGACAGCAGATAACATTTGCTTTGTTTGTGTTTTCTTCTCTAGAGGCATATGGACCCAACTGTTTCTCTTTTTGGTGCTACTGTTGATATTCAATGCCTAGGTCCATTAATTCATTAACTATTATAAAATCATGGTATTTTAGTTCTGTCCTATCTTGTTCAGGTACCAGTTGGAATGCTTTAATAGAGCTAGCTTATCATATACTATTTTTTTAAATAATGACACAGAGTTCACAGAGGAAAAGCAGACTAAATGCTTGATTATTCTCCTTTATCTAACAATTTTCAAGATAGTGAATTGATTTCCCATGATCTTCTGACAGTATTTGCTTGTTTTAAACTATTATTATGGATTATGGTTTAAAACACATTTTGGTTTTAATCCATCGTGATTATTTTTTCTTGGAGAGGCTCAGAGACCGCTGGCTTGGGTCAGTGAGAGCCTCTACAGGTTGGCTCCTGGGTCACGGGACAGCAGTTATTCTAGGGGCCAGTCTTGGAATCGGCCATTAGCAGCAGCCCTGCTCTGTAGCACTCTGGGTGCTTATTGTTACTAAGTTGATCGTCTTTTGTTTCTGGCCTCTTTGGTTGACAGAGGTAGGAAATTATGATCTATATCTTATTATCTACACAGCCATAACATTTAAAGTAAAATACCTTAGAAATGCATACCATTGCTTTCAAGTCAAACTTGGGATTACACCGATATTTGACTTAACTCTATATTTGTATCTTCTTTCACCTTGCCAGTCCTGGTTGAGGTTGCCGAGGATGATAGAATATCCCATAATTACGTATTGACTTTATTTGCATTACTTTATTGACATTATTTACACTTCAGAATCACAGTGTTAATACAGCCATTATTTACTGAGGAGAGTTCATTTAATGGCATTATGCACTTCTAATTTTCCCTAATTTTGGAGTTGTACTATATGCACTATAGGCAGGCTATAGGGTCATTATATCTCACATTTTCTCCTTTTTAGCTTTCATTTTGTCCTCTACAAATAACTACATTTAATACTTACCATTGGCCCTATGTATGCCATTGTTGCTTCTCTCTTTTTTTTTTTTGTCTCAAGCTCATTATCTATAGATTCCCCAAGGAAGACTCAGGAATAATCTTCCCTGAGTCCTGAGATGTTAATAACAATGTATTTGTGTCATACATACTTGAAAGGCATTTTTGCTGGATATAAAACTTGACTCATTTTTTCCCCATGCATTACATTGCTTTATTTTCTTCGGGCATAGAATATTGTAGTCAGTCTGATAATACTCTTTATTTTTTTAATAAGACACTTGCTAATTCTAGAGGCTCAAAGAATCTACCCCTCTCCACTTTTTAGACCATAATTTTAGTAGTGTGTATCTTGTTATCTTATTCATAATTCTGGCTTGAAATTCTCAGGTTTTCTATGTATGCTGCTTCCCAGTCCCCCTTGTGTAGTCTTTTGATTAGAGTAAAAATCTTACTGCTATTCAATTTCAGGATAGCTTGATGGTTTTCTTTTAATTACAATGTCTAATATTGATTTTGTTACCCTGCTTTGGGTCCTGTCTCCCCCCACCTCACCTCAAGGACTTTTATTATTTTTGTTAGCTTTTCTCATCTCTAACAACTGTCCTATATATGGCTCCCTTTTTTTCCATTTAGTTTGTATTTCTGTTCTCCATATTTTGTTTCCCTTGCATCTTTATGTTGTGTTTATTCCCTTTTATGTGCCTTCAGTATGGGGTTCATTTCTGAAATGCATTTTTGTTCTATTTATGATTCTTTCCTGTGCTCTATCATTTTACTTACAAGTTTTTCTAATTCTGAATTCTGTCTTTCATGCCTTATCTCATTTCCTTAATGTCTTCTAGCTTATTTTTGAAATGGTAGGGATAGTTTGTTTTTTAACTAATTAGGAAATAATACATATATCATTTCATAATTTAATCACATCAGCAGAATTGTACATTTGTTAACACGGTTTACTAACATTTCTTTTCTACATAGACCTCCTTGACATGACATCATCTCCCCTTCACCCTGCCCCCACCACTGTATCCCCCACCCATTGAATCCCTTATGCTACTTAGGGTCATTGGTCCTGGGTTTCTCTATAGGTTCATCTATAGGTTCATCAGTCCTGGGTGTCATATACTGAAAAATGAAAAAGAAACATATAACTTCAAGAAGGTGACCCCTCTGAGATACACGCTAATATGTACAAACAAAAAACAAATAAAACAGTGCAAACCAAAAATACAGAAAACTTTGGAAACCAGATCAGCTCCAGCCTGCAGCATAGGGGGAATCTACTGACAAAGTTTTAAATGTTCAAGTCAGATTTAGGCCTTTGATCTTCTGTACTCAACCCTCTAATGCACTCTGTTTAGTAACCACTTTCCTCCCCTCCCTCAATTGTGAATAGAGGGAGTTCACCAGAGGCTTATTTCCTATGTAGTTCTACAAATGAATCTTGGGCTTCCACTGTCATCCATAGCCTTCAGCAAACCAAATCCTCACACTTTAGGTTGATACTAATCCTTCCTTTGACTTCAGATTATATGATTTACAATCCTTCGTTGACTGATGATGGTGTGCTTCTTCCATGTGGACTTACTTGACATCTCACTTAAATGGCTGCTTGTTTGAAGAAAAGCCTTTCAGACCCCAGAGTCTATTTTATCTTGTAGATGGGCACCATCTAAGTTCTTTACCACATTTTGCTATGGCACCCATCTCCTCTGTGTTACCTTCCTGAGGGCGAGTATCAAGTATCGACCAGGGTCATGATGTTTGAACTAATTGTTCTTAAATTGGAGCTAGGATTATAAGCCCCAAACCCATTCCTGGATCAATGTTTTGTTGTTCTTTTCATTTATTATTATTTGGGCATTAACATACATGTCATGTTGTCTCATCGTTCAATGGCCTCAAACAGAATGGTATTACCGCTTCCATAATAAATTTCCAAACATCCTATTTCTTCCTGGGTTCCTTGACATCATCTCCCTTTCATGCCCTCCCCCTCCCCTGCAGCATCCTCTGCCCCCCGTGAAATCCTTGTTGTGCTTGCTGTCCCTCTGGGTACATCCATCCTGCGTTTCCTTTATGGAAAAGCAGAAAAACATATCACAACTTCAGGAGGGTAACCTCCCAATGACATAGCACCTCTGAGATACACCGTAATATGAACAAACAAACCATAGAAAAAATGACTGTCACCGGTTTGCTAGAATAATACATATCTTAATTCAACATATAAGGCATTAATTTTTTATTGAAAAGTCTATGTTGTGACATGTTTTCTTTGCAGATAGGGGTAATCCCTTCCTACTTCTTTTTTCTTACAACTTTGCATGGGATTTGGCCTTGGTACTTTTTTGTTGTCCCGTTTTATGTGAACAGCTGTGTAGAGGCAGAGTTCAAGATAGTATTTCTAAATTCATGGAGTTTAGTATTCTGCTTTTAATTTTTTTTATGATGTATGGCAGCCTGATTTCTGAGGCGTCTGGCTTTTGTCCCCTCACGTACTTTTCTGTGAATTCCCCCATTCCTTTGCCCCTATAATCTCTATACTGTGCATTCCTGACCGTACTGCTAAGAGTGTCTCTTCCCAGAAGAGAGCCTGGGACAAGTTCTGAAAGCTCTTAGGAACTGTTTAGCTTCTTCTAACCTCACTCTGGGCCTCGCCCACTCCCTGACAGTGGGATCATCAGAACCTCCCTGCTGCTGTGCTAAATTGGCCCTCCACGCTTTCCTAGGTGTGCCTATTGGTTACTTTGGGGTTTTCCACTCTTCGAATCCATCAACCTTTTGCACCCTCTGCTCCTAACCATGTGAATACCCTATGATTTACCTGCTTTCATGTTGTTATTTAAGGGGTTAATTTGTCACCAAGATTTGGATTTTACTATGTAAGTTGCACTATATATTTTTATGTGGGAATCCAGAGAGATGAAAAAACTAGGCTACCCCTACCCATCTTCCTCAAATCACCTATGGCAAGGTTTAAAAAAAAAAAAAAAAAAGCATGTTTTATAGTCTGAGACTGTGTTTAGGTGGGGGAAAATCCCTTTAAGCTTTGGTCAGCATGCCTACATTTTGCAGAGAAAGATATGAAACCCAGAGAGGTCAACTGGCTTATCCAGAGGCCCACGAACAGTTTAGTACCTCACCAGGAACAGTGTTCTTTTCTCTTTACAGAACATTGTCATCCTCAGCTTTTTTACCTAACTTAAAACAGTACTCAAAATGCATTTGTTCCCATTTTTAAAGTAATGACAATGTGATAGTGTTAAAAAAAAACTGGAAAGAAGTATTAGGATGTTTCATAAGTGATTCCTGGTATTGAGTCCTGGTAGTGCAGTGGGTTGTGTGTTGGGCTGCTAGCTGCAAAGTCAGCAGTTCAAAACCACCATCTGCTCTATAGGTGACAGATGAGGCTTTCTGCTCCCATAAAGTATTAAAGTT